AGGGAGGAGGAGGAGGAGGAGGAGGAGGAGGAGGACGAGAAGGAGGAGGGAGGAGGAGGGAGGAGGAGCAGCGTTAGGCAGCTTACGAGGTCCGAGGCGGGAGGCTTCCGGATGTGTTCGGTGGCCCTTCCGCGCGGCAGGCCGGCGAGCTGGTTCTGCGCCGCACCAGGGTGCTCTCCAGCAGCTGCTCCTCGCCGGCAGGCGTCACTTCGTGGGGGGCCCGGATTGTCCAGAGGAGCCGCCAAAGGCATGACCCGAAAAGCATCCGGCTGCGAGGTGGAGGAGGTGGAGGCGGCGAAACAGGAAGCGACCACCTTGGAGTAATTTTGTTTGGCATGCAGGTGGAGGAGGTGGAGGAGGTGGAGGAGGTGGAGGCGGCGAAACAGGAAGCGACCACCGTGGAGGAGGCGGCGGAACAGGTGCGGCAGCGGTTTAGCATGCATCGCTCGGCAAGGAAAGTTGAAGCGCACCGAGTGTCGCACCCTTTGAAATTGAGGTCGGCGCGGTGCAGGGTTGTGGCGCGAGGCTGAAGCAGGACGTGGGAAAGAGTATGGGTCGGAGTTCTTCTGCGCTTCTTCTGGTGGGTGCGTCCATGGGCCTGCCGAGGTCGGAGGATTGCGGGCCTGCTGGACACTGTCCAACATTATGGAAAGCGCGCGGATTTTCGCGCAGATGTGTGAAGAGGGCGAGGTTGAGGAGGAGGAGGAGGAGGAGGAGGAGGAGGAAGCGGCGAAGCAGGAAGCTAGGAAGACAATAAGCATGCGCAAGAGACGGCAAGAGAGTAGACGGAGGAGGAAGGGATGGGGGGTGCAAAAAAGGGAAGGACACGACGAAGGGGAGGAACACGCGCAGAGAGAATACGAGAAGGGGATCGGCACGGCGCCTTGGTCCAGTTTGAGCTAGCGTGCGACGTATTTTGAGCCGCGGCGTGGGGTCTTAAGCACGAAAAAACACAAGCGGTGAACATAATGGAACAAACGTGTGACAATTCAGCAGGTGTTCGGGGTAAGTCCGGCCACCGCCTTTGGGTTGTGGGACGGAGGTGTCGTGGATGCTTGTGGTGTTTTTGGGTAGCGTCTGGGGCACATCTTGGAGGCATGCTGGAGTCTCTTCAGATGCCTTTCGGCGGCCTCACGGGGCGCGTGCCGAGGCATCCGGGGGCCTTCGGGTGCCACCCCGGGGGCCCTTTGGAGGGTTCTCGGGGCCTCGTGGGGGCGGCTAGGGACGCTCCTGCGGGGCTCTCCGAGCCACCTTCGGGGGGAGGCTCGACATGTCGCGTCGGGTTCCACTTCTTGGGCTTCCCTTGGGGCGGTTTTGGGCCGCGTCGGGGGGCCCCGCGGTCCAGAGGGGGCCTGTCTTGGGAGTCTCTGGGGCCGTCTTGGGGGCCCCTGGGGCCGTCCTGGGGCGAGCTTGGGACGATCTTGGGGGCCCCTTGGCCAGTTTTGGACGCTCTGAAGGCGCAAGTGGCGAGCGTGCTGAAACTGCAACCTTTTCCAAGGAATTGTGGCGACGTTTGTTTTTTGGGCTTCGCAGGGATGTGGGCGGTCTGGAAGGGGCCACGTGGGCGGTCTGGAAGCCATGTTGGTTAGCTGCGATCGCTCTTTGCCATGTTTGTTCGCCAGAGTTCCTGCACGTTTTTCACCCCCTGCAAATGGGCGTTGGCGGATTTCCAGTTCAACAACGGGTGCCGATACGATGCCGTTGCACCTCGTCGCCACGGCCGGTCCAGCTTCAAAGTCCTGGTCAGAGCGTGCCCATGCAGAGGTCCTGGGGGTAGCGGCATCGGCGTGTTTTTGTTCTTCCTACCTTTCTCCAACTTTTCTCTCGTTGTATGTTTCTATCTCCCTCTCTCTGTATATGTATATATATATATGTAAATATATATCCTTTGTTTCACCATGTCTGTTCTTGCTTTTGTCTCTCGCGTGCCCTGTCTCCCTAATTAAAGCTGCGCGTAGCCCGCCTAGCTTTTAGCGGAAGAGGTTCGCTCTCGCCCCGCAGATCAACATTGTTTTTGTCTCTCGCTCTATCTCTCTCTCTCTCTCTCTCCCTCTCTCTGTCTCTCTTTTTTTCTTTCTCTCTCTCTCTCTCTCCCTCTCTCCCTTGACCTTTCACTCGATCTCACTCCTCGTCCTCCCTCGTCCCTCCTCCCTCCCTCCACCTCGCCTGTCTCGGTCGCCCTTCCTGACTAGCAGATCCTCCTCATCGCACCACAAGACAAGTCGGCAGGGCGGTCCGGCCTTTTTTCCTTGCAACCTCCTCACAACTTGTGACCCTGCAGTTTAACGTTATTGAATCGCTTCGCTCATTCCGCCGGCCCATACGGTCTCATGTCTGCCGTTTGCCCGAGGGCCTGGTGTCAATGCGGCGCTTTGGGGGTTCCTGGGGCCGCTTGGGGGACTCCTGGGGCGCTCGGGGGGGCATTTGGGGGGCCTCCTGGGGCCGCTTGGGGGACTCTTGGGGGCCTCCTGAGGGCCTCGTGGGGGCCTCTTGGGGCCTCTTAGGGGCCTCTTGGGGCCTCGTAGGGGCTTCTTAGGGCCGAGGGCGCGAAATTTTGTGTCGTGTTCCCTCTCTGGGGCCCCTTTGGGGGTGGTCTTGGGGCCCTCTTGGACCGTCTTGGAGGCTTCTTGGGCCGTCTTCGAGCCCTCTTGGGCCATCTTGGGGCCCTCTTGGGGGCCTCTTGGGCCCTCTTGGGGCGATCTTGGGGGCCTCTGGGGCCGTCTTGGGGCGTCGGGAACCGAAAAGGTGGAAGCTCCAAAATCTCTCAAAAACCTAAGGAAAAACAATGAATTTTGCCTCCGGGGGCCCTCTTGGGAGTGCTCTTGGAGGCCTCTTGGGGCGTCTGGGGGCTATCTTGGGCGTCTTGGAGCGATCTTGTGGCATGTCGGACCCCTCGTGTACCATCTTGGGGGCCTCTTGGGGGCCTCTTGGCCTTTCTTGGGGCTCTCGGGGACGTCTCGGAGCCCTGTTGGTGCGCTCCTGGAGCGCTCCTGGAGCGCTCTGGGGGAGTCTCCCGGGGATCGCTCGGGGGTCGGTCGGGGATCGCCCGGGGTACTTTTCGTCCTGGGACCCCCAGGGGCCGCCCCGCGCGCGCGAACTAGAGAATTGTTAACCAGTTACCGGAGATCTTAGCACGCCTCTGGCCCGTTGGGCCGGCGAATTTTTAATTGAAAATGCGAGAGGAGCCTGCGCTTTTCACAAGCTCTCCCTGTCGCACCACCGGTCGTGTCCGCAGGCCAGGTCGGGTGTTTTGCTTGAGACTTCCTGTTCGGCTCAGCATCCAGAAGCTTAAAAACTGGCACATGCGACACGGAGGAGGATTGTCACGGCTGTCGTTTAAGGAACGGGTAATGTTTTACCGCTTCGTGCCCTAACAATGGTGGCACGCCATGTTCTGGATGCAACACTTGTGAAGATGCGGATACTACCACGCCTATGCTGTGCAACACTCGCGCCAATGCCCTCCACTGCGCGGCCTATGACCGCCCATGGCCTACACGCGGGCCCTTTGCACGGTGGCTGGTAAGACCCCCACCTCCATGCCTGACACTGCCACCTATCCGTTCCACTTCGATCTCTCCCCCTCACCTCCGATTTACATGGGGCATCCTCCAATGCGCGGGGACTGCGTGTCCCATAACAGGGGCTGTGCGTCCCATTTGCCAGGACCCATTTGCCAGGACTGTGTGTCCCATAATCGAGACTGCGCGTCCCATTTGCCAGGACTGCGTGTCCCATAACAGGGACTGTGCGTCCCATTTGCCAGGACTGCGTGTCCCATAACAGAGACTGCGCGTCCCATTTGCCAGGACTGTGTGTCCAATTCGCCGGCCCAACGGGCCAGAGGCGTGCTAAGATCTCCGGTAACTGGTTAACAATTCTCTAGTTCGCGCGCGCGGGGCGGCCCCTGGGGGTCCCCGGGCGGAAAGTACCCCGGCAAGGTCCTGAGAGAGTCCCGGGAGGAGTCACCAGGGCGCTCCAGCAGCGCACCAACGCGGCTCCGAGGCGTCCCCGAGAGCC